AGGAAAGTACTGGCTTTCGTTGCCCCAGGGGCACATTTTCTGCAGTGTGGCAGCCATGACTGCAGCTCCTGGCGGAAGTGCACCAGGTGTGGGGGACTGGAAGATGATGCTATTGTCCTTGGAGCTTCTGTGCATGTAGACCTTACTTGAGCTGCTTTGCCTGGGGGTGCATCTCAGTCACGGCATTTGGATATCGAGCCATATGACACGTGGCTGTTCTGAGATCACCTCATCAGGGACCTCCTGCTGGGAGGACTGTCAGCTAGCTGTCTGGCTGGGAGAAGCCAAGCAACCCAGTATTCTTGTCCCTGTCTGCAAAGTGGGCTCATGCCGTCCACCTTTCCTACTCCAGATGGTTGTGCATAACCCGAGGCTTGGAAGGCAGGAGAACTTGGCTCAAGCACTGGCTATGCCAGAGGGGGACCTCCCCTCAAGATGGAATTTATTTGAAAAAAAAATTGTGTATTTTTTCTTACCTGTTTAAACTTTAGTCACTTTCAGAGTACTCTCTGTTTGACGCAATGCAATAATCGAGATACTTTTTCCTCTGCTCAAAACAAGTTTTGAACTTGTCAATTTTGATGCTAAAAGTGCTTCTGCTGTTTTTTGTTTCACCTCTTCCAAAATGGCAAAATGTTGCCCTTTGAGGACTTTTTTTTTTCATCCAGAGAAACAAAAACAAGTTGCTCGGGATGACATCAGGTGAATAGGGGAGGTGGGGCATGGGAGTCATGGCGCTTTGGGTCCAAAATGGCTGAACACTCAGCGCAGTGTGAGCAGGTGTGCTCGTAAATCACCCATCATGAACTGGGCAAACGCGTTAAAAGAATCTCCAAAAAAAAAAAATTCACCGAAGTTGAACACAGCCTCCCAACGCTGGCTGGTACACTGATGCTGATGGATTCCTAGAACACTCACCTCGTGAAGGCAGCCTGTGCTACAGAGAGCTCACCCTCCAGAAAATAATTCCAGTTTTTTGGGCTCCCGCTTGTAATGAGCTGATGGCTATCATCGATCGCAGAAAAAAATTGGAGTCGGTGTCCTTCATGTTCTTGATCCCTCTCTGGTGTCCACCTGCTCTTTGGAATTCCTCTTTGCCTCAGTTTCTCTTTCTTGAGTCACCTCCCCTGTTCTCACTTTCCTTACTGCCTGGTCTCAGACTGTCTGCTTTTGTGGTGCTATGAAGTTCATGGGCGTTTCTACCTCATCCAGATCCCTGCCCTCACTCCCAAGTCCAGATCCCTGACATCTCTTGAACGTCCTTTAGGCTCAAAGGTCAGCCTTGGCTTCTGCTCCACGTGTCCCAGTTAAAGACATCCCCCTCAGAGGTGGGTTTTGACCCCTCTTTCTGGAACCTCTGTGCCACCGCTCTGGGACTGTTGTCACCCCTGTCGGATGCTGCAGAAATCGGTCCTCTCGTCTCCATTCGCCCTGCGGTTTCCCCACTCTCATCCTTGTGTACATTCATCTCAATCACTACTTCACAACCTTCACAATTATGTACTTGATGGTGATAGAACCCCACCTTTCCTGTACCTCCAAAACCTTCCTCATAGCTTTTACAAAGACTTGGATAGAGTGGTGCTCCAGTTGTGGTTGGTGTGTGGTCTTCTTCCTTCCTTCCTTTCTTTTTGAGTTGGAGCCTCACTCCGTTGCTCAGACTGGACTGCTGTGGAACGCTCACAGCCAACGCAGCCTCGACCTGCTGGGCTCAGGTAATCCTTCCGCTTCAGCTTTCCAAGTAGCTGGAACTACAGGTGTGTGCCACCATGCCCAGCTTATTTTTTGATTAATTGTAGAGATGCGGTCTCGTGATGTTGCCCAGGTTGATCTTGAACCCTGGTCTCAAGCAGTCCTCCTGCCTCTACCTCCCAAAGTGCTGGGATTACAGGTGTAAGCCAATGCGCCTGGCTGGCACACGGGCCTTTTTCTATCTCTGCCAGGGGAGCCCTGCCTTCCCCTTCCTCCACTTCTGCTCCATGGTGGCCTCAAGACCTCTGATCCTAAGACCTCAAGGGGCCTGGCCTGAAATGAACCCCTCGTGTGACAGTGGATTGCAACTTCCTCCTAAGCCATCTCCTTGCTCCTTCTCCCATCGGAGTTGTTTCTCTAAAGCCCAGGCCGGACATGGCTCAGAATCCCATTCATAACTTGTTGTAGTTCACAAAAGAAAGCCAGGACCCCAGCACTGCCTTCGGTCTGACCCCCAATTACCTTTTCTTCTTCATGTCTCTGCACTTCTCTTGCTCTGTGTACCGTGTGATGAGGTCACATATTCTCTTCCCTCTCTTGTTCCCCTCCATCTTTCCTCACGCCTTGGTCTCAGAACATCTGCCTCAGTGGTGGCATGAAGCACACACGTGTTTCTCCCTCATCTAGATCTCTGCCCTGTCCTTACTCTTTTTTTTTTTTGAATCGGAGTCTCACTCTGTCGCCCAGACTGGAGTGCAGTGGCCGCTCCCGGCCACCGCAGCCTCGACCTGTTGGGCTCCGGCGATCCTTTCCTCCTCAGCCTTCCAAGTAGCCGGAACTACAGGCGCGCGCTACCACGCCCGGCTCATTTTTTGACTTATTGCAGAGATGAGGTCTCACCAAGTTGCCCGGGCAGGTCTCGATCCTGCGGGCTCAGGCAATTCACTCACCTTGGCCTCCCAAAGCGCGGGATTACAGGCTGAGCCACCGAGCCCGGCCCCTGTCCTTACTCTTAAGCCCAGATCCCTGTCATCTCCCTGAACATCCTTTAGGCCCAAAGGTCAGCCTTGACTTCTGACTCACAATTCCCAATTAAAGGCGTGTGTCTTTGGAGCCTCTATAAGAGGCTCTGGGAGGAGCTGATCCTCCTGGGAGGATCGCCTTTTCCCTTGCTTCTCTTTCTGGTGAAAGCCTGTGTGGTCCTCAGGGCTGGTCATGAAACCTTTCTTGAACTTCTTTCTCATCATACATAATTTATCACTTCTTCCTCTCTGCTCCTACAACATTTTGTGTGTGCTTTTAAAAAATTGTACTTACCATTGCATTACAGCCTTGTTAATGGAAGAGATGATGTCCTATTTATCTTCATGTCCCCAAAGCACCTGGCCCAATTCCCAGTATACAGCAGGCATACGTGTTTGTAGAATAAACAAACAACTGAATGGATGAATGAATTAGTTTGACATGCTCATTAAAGCCTGTAAGGGCAGGGCCCCAAGGCGTCATTTGCCTCCCTTTTACGATTCAAGATTTTTTTCTTGAAAAAATCTGGAGGTTGGAGTTCAGTGGCATGCTCACGGCTACTGCAGCCTCGATCTGCTGAGGTCAGGTGATCTTCTGCCTCAGTCTTCCAAGTAACTGACACTACAGTTACATGCCACCACATCTGGATAATTTATTATTATTATTATTATTATTTGTAGAGGCGAGGTCTCTCCAAGCTGCCTAGGCTGTTGTTGAATTCCTGGGCTCAGGCAATCCTTTCACCTCCACCTCCCAAAGTGCTAGAATTTCAGGCGTGAACCACTGCGCCCAACTCAAAATTCTTTTTTTTTTTTTTTTTTGAGTTGGAGTCTCCCTCCGTCACCCAGACTGGAGTGCAGTGGCTGCTCCCGACCACCGCAGCCTCGACCTGCTGAGCTCCAGCGATCCTTCTGCTTCAGCCTTCCAAGTGGCCGTAACTACAGGCGCGCGCTACTATGCCCAGCTAATTTTTTGATTTATTGTAGAGATGAGGTCTCAACAAGTTGCCCAGGCGGGTCTTGAACCTGCAGGCTCAGGCAATTCACTCACCTCAGCCTCCCAAGGTGCGGGATTACAGGCTGAGCCTGGCTATTAGGGTCGGAGGGGGAGCCTGGCCCGTGCTGATTCAGGTGGCTGTCCTCCTGCCGGCCTTGGCTCCTACAGCCTGTCCCACCTTTTGTCTCAGGTTTCCTAAGTGGGCTCTGGTTGTCTTCCCAACTCTGAGCTGTGGTTGGCAGCCCAGCCTGCACCCCATCACTCTAGTACTAGGGCCCCTCCCTCCCTGGGGGGGGGTCCCTGCTGCTGAACTGCAGTCTGGTGACAAGCACTTTTCTTTTCTCTTTTCTTTTTTTTGAGTCAGAATCTCACTCTGTTGTCCAGGCTGGAGTGCAGTGGCATGCTCATGGTCTACTGAGCTCTGGCGAGCCTTCCGCTTCAGCCTTCCAAGTGGCTGGAACCACAGGCGTGCGCCACTATGCCTGGCTAATTTTTTGATTTATCACAGAGATGAGGCTTTACCAAGTTGTCCAGGCTGGTCTTGAACCCCTGGACTCAGGCAAAGTACTGGGATTATAGGCGTGAGCCACCGTTCCTGGCCGACGGACACTTTTCTCCTTGCTGCAAGGTTTCCTAAGTGCCACCTCCTGAGTATCCCATATTTGTTGACACCTTAGCGTTTCCGTCACTTTTTTTTTTTTTGAGTCGGAGTCTCACTCGGTCACCCAGGCTGTAGTGCAGTGGCACACTCACGGCCACCCGCAGCCTCGACATTCTGGACTCAGGCAATCCTTCTGCCTCAGCCTTCCAAGTAGCTGGAACCACAGGCGTGCACCACCACCCTGCCTAATTTCTTTTCTTTTCTTTTCTTTTCTTTTGAGTTGGAGTCTCACTCTGTTGCCCAGACTGGAGTGCAGTGGCCGCTCCTGGCCACCGCAGCCTCGCCCTGCTGGGCTCTGGCGATCCTTTCGCCTCAGCCTTCCAAGTAGCTGGAACTACAGGCGCGCGCTACCACGCCTGGCTAATTTTTGAGTTATTGTGGAGATGAGGTCTTGCCAAGTTGCCCAGGCGAGTCTCGAACCCGCGGGCTCAGGCAATCTACTCACCTCAGCCTCCCAAAGGCGCAGGATTACAGGTTGAGCCACCGAGCCCAGCTTTCTTTTCTTTTCTTTTTTTTAACCACCAGTCACTCTTACCCTTCCTTCCCAGGTGCTTTGTGCTTCTGTGGTATCTTCTAACTGACCACATTTCCCATCCTGCTGTCGCACCTGTCAAGGTGTTCACCAGCCATGGCTGTGGGCAACCCGCTCTGCCTTAGAGCATGGTCCCTCACCATCCAGGTGAAAAACCAGAGCGCGTGGAGTGGACTTTCGGCCACCCCCACCCACTCTGCTTCACCCTCCCCAGTTCACTTCCAGATCTCCTTAACTCTACTTCACATAGTCCTGAATAAAACACTTTTCACAGCTCCCTACCATCATTCTGATCCTCATACCTATCGTTTTTTTACCCGAAGCACCTCTGTTGCATCTTTATGAATCTCCTGAATCTCCTCTGGATCCTTCTAAAGCATTCTCCACACATTTGCCAGGTGTGATCCTTTTAAAGATGTGATACTGTGTTAACTGGGCTGTGTACAGGCGAGTCCCAGATGTGATGCCCTGTCATTAACTCCTCAGGAAACCTACTCGCAGGTACCGCCTTATGAAGGCTAAATCATGAAACAAATGTACCAAACGGGACTTATGGAAATTCATAAGCAATGTGTGCGTCTTGCTTACAACCTTCCAAGTCTTGCCTTGCGTTTTCGGAATAAAGACCACAACAGAAGAATGGAGGAATGTGGCCTACAAAGCCATGTGTACCTGGCCCCCAGTGCCTGTCCAGCTTCCCTTTCTTTCTCTGGCCAATGCCCTCTCTTTCTTCTAAAGCAACCACCCTGTTTCCTCCCACCCCAGACCTTTGAACATGCTGTTTCCTTTGCCTGCCATTCTGTTCTTGTCTTGCAATACAAAGCTCCGGCAGTTCTTCACGATGCCTACCTGACCCCTGCCTCTAGGCTCTCATGGCTTCCTGAGCTCCCCCTTTGTGGCACTTATCACAGTTTTTATTACACAGGCATGTGAGCATTCATTGATGTGTTTCCCGGATTAGACTCTAGTGAGGTCCAAGGACAGGGACCATGTGTGTTTTGCTCACAATTTTATGGGGTCCATGATTAATGTGTAGCCCCATGACTAATAAGTGCCTCATACATATCATTAGAAGCAGCAAATAACCCTGGCGTGACCCTACCTGTCTCTCCTGCAGAAGTTAACTGGGGCTGTGTACAGCGAGCCCCAGATACGATGCCCTGTCACTAATTCCTCAGGAAGCCAGCTCGCAGGAACCACCTGATGAATGATAAATCACCAAACAGATGCACATAATGGGACTTATGGAAATTCGTAAACAGCATCCCGCATTGTTTATTGAAAGTGCTTGGCCAGGCTCGGTGGCCCAGCCTGTTGTAATTCCAGCACTTTGGGAGGCTGAGGAGAGTGGATTGTCTGAGCCCATGAGTTCGAGACCAGCTCTGGCAACTTGGCAAGACCTCATCTCTACAATCAATCAAAAATTAGCTGGACATGGGAGCACGTGCCTGTAGTTCTACTTGGAAGGCTGAGGCGGAAGGATCACTGGAGCCCAGCAGGTCGACGCTGGGGTGGCTGTGAGTATGCCACTGCACTCCAGCCTGGGCAACAGTGTGAGATTCCAACTAAAAAAAAAAAAAAGTGTTTGGATATGCATATTTACTACTTAATTTTTTGGGGGGTAAGGAATTTGATAGATATTAGACTATATTATTGTACTTTAAGTTCACTGTGCTTCCTTGAACTTAGGGCCAGTTAAAAAATCATTTCTTAAAAAATGTGGTACATATACATGATGGAATATTACACAGACATAAAGAAGGACAAAATTATGAACTTCACAGCAACTTGGATGGACACAGAGTCTATAATACTGAGGGATCTATTACAGAAACAAAGAACTGAGTACTACATGTTCTCACTCATAAGTGGACCTTGAGCATTTATCATAATATAAGAAAGGGATTGGCAGGGGTGGGAGACTGCCAGAGGAGGGGAGGCACACCTCATCAACAAGGGTACCTGCATAATGACCATTTGTATACCTGACCCTAAATTGTACCCTACATTAAAAAAAAAAACATGTTTCTTGTTTTTTTCTTTTAATCACACATACAATAATTCTGTTTCCCATGTGTAGGTTTTTTTTTTTTTTTTTTGTCTTAATTGCTGTGGTACTTAGTGTTGAATTTCATGTTTAACTATAATAATTGCCTATGCTTAGGTGCTAGATACATCTCTGCTCTTTTAAAAGTGAATTAATTTTTTGTTTTTTTGGTGGGGGTTGTTTTTACTGGTCTATACTTAATTTTTAAAGACAATTTAGACGCTTTTGATATAAATGAATATTTATGTATTACGTTATGTTTTCCATATTTTTATTTATAGTGTATGCTGCATGTATATGACATACATATGTATAATGTACATTATGCAACTCTAATCCTGCCTTAATTTTCACACCACAGTGATCGCAATCTGTATTCCTCATTTGGAGCGACTCTGGCGAGGGATGATGAAAAGAATTTATGGAGTATGCCTCATGACGTGTCCCACACAGAAGCAGATGACGACAGAACCCTGTACAATTTAATAGTCATTCGTAACCAGCAGGCCAAAGATTCCGAGGTGAGCACCTTTTGACATCTGGTAGCACGTGAAGATGATGCTGTTTGGTAAAAAATGACCATTCCTGAGATAACAAAAAGAATGGCCGGGCTCGGTGGCTCAGCCTGTAATCCCGCGCCTTTGGGAGGCTGAGGTGAGTGGATTTCCTGAGCCTGCGGGTTCGAGACCCGCCTGGGCAGCAAGACCTCATCTCTACAATAAATTAAAAAAAAAAAAAAATCAGCTGGGCGTGGTAGCACACACCTGTAATTCTGGCTACTTGGAAGGCTGAGGCGGAAGGATCGCTGGGGCCCAGCAGGTCGAGGCTGCGGTGGCCGGGAGCAGCCACTGCACTCCAGTCTGGGCGACAGAGTGAGACTCCAACTCAAAAAAAATAAAAATAAAAAGAATGAAGGATGAGATATTTGAAACGAAGGACAGGTATTTTAGCAGCATATATCACCACTGGTTGCTAATTATAGTTTTGATTGCCTGCTTGATATGCAGACAGATAAGACTCATTTCTAATGATTACTTTAATGGTACAAATTACACGCAAGGCAATGCTGTTGAAGGGTATGAAGATAGTTTATCGTCTTAAATGGCTTAAGCAGTCTAACTCTAATCGTTCCAGTTGTTTAGCAAGCCAGAATTAGATGAACCAGATGGAAGTTGAATGGAACACTGCATTATCACTGATTCTGAATGAGTAGGGCCTGAATTGGTTTTTTTTCCCCTTAAATTGTGCCTATTGACCAGACAGCAGTGGACCCGCCATATTTGAGACAATTCTTATGAGAGGGCTTGAACCCTCGTAATGACTCTAAATCCAAAGTTATTGGTATGGGAACACTAGAATATTAAACACGAGAGAACTTTGTATGTTAAGAGAAAGCGGCAAAAAGGATCACAGTTTTTCTCCTTTCTCTTGAAGATAGTATTAGGGTACTATATAGAACATAAGAATCGTTTTACAAATAATGCAGCCTAGGTTTTCTGACTTCTGTGTGCGTCGGTTAGCTCTGAGTAGACACCTGTATTCAATATACACGCTATGCTTCTTTGTGTCTTATCATCTTATCGTAGGGTGGTTTAGAACCCTGGGCTCTGGCTACGAAGAATCGGAACCTAGAGTGTTGTGGAACTCATCTGTTCCTTGTCTAGGCTTCTTCATTTTTGCTAATTAATTGCTATTTCACTCCCCCCAGACATATTTTAGCAGGAGGTGATAACTTTTAGAAGTGCCATGTGTCCTGGTCCTTTTATTCTGGTGTGACTCGGATGCCTTCAAGGGGTTGGAGGTGGGGATCTCAGGGTGGGAGAGGGGCGATGGTTGCCTCTGGTTCCTGAGGCCTGGAAAAGAGTAGTCTGGAGAGTCCCGCAGTGCAGCGGCTGTTGGTGTGTAGTATCTCCCTAGTGTCCAAGCACTGTGCTATCTGTGACTGCCCATGTCCCCGGCAAAATCCCCTCCATGACTGGTAACTCTGAAAGCTAGATGATCATAAAGTCTGCTGCTACCTAGAACGATGCTCCCTGATTGCCCTTTTTGGCATACAAATGGGAACCAGCGACCTTGATTTCCCTTTAGTGGGAAGAGCAGAATCTTACACGACTGTATTGGGTTGACCAATTCGGGTTTCTGCTAGTGAGAATGGAACTAGTTCCTCTCTTTCCTTCCTCTTTTTCCCCCAACCCTGTCCAAAGCAGTAAATGCAATAGGGAGACAATGTAGTCTCAGTCTCTCTCTCCCCACCTTCCCTCTCTCCCCTCCCTCCCCGCCTCACAGCACTCTCCAAATAAGCACAGCTTCCAAAGTGGCCTGTTGTGTCTTTTCTGATGGACCATCCAGATGACTTTTTCTTCTTGTCTAAGAAGCAAAGTCAGGCTTGACTGTAGAGGAACTCTGTTACCAAGACAAGCGACCAAACAAATTACATGAAGATGTGATGATGATTATGCATGGAATGATTTGAAATATCCTCTTCATAGTGCTCCCTTTTTGATAAAGTATAAGAGTAATACGATTGTAAAACATTACTTATATTTTCTCCTGAAATTTTGAAATGCAAGTATATATTAATGTTTCTACTCATCTTCCCATAGATTGGATGATATTTCTTTTTTTTGAGTTGAAGCCTCACTCTGTTGCCCAGGCTGGAGGGCAGTGGCATGCTCCCGGCCACCGCAGCCTCGACCTGCTGGGCTCCGGCTATCCTTCTGCCTAAGCCTTCCAAGTAGCTGGAATTACAGGCGCACGCTACCACACCTGGCTAATTTTTTGATTTATTGTAGAGATGAGGTCTCGCCAAGTTGCCCAGGCGGGTCTCAAACCCGCGGGCTCAGGCAATCCACTTACCTTGGCCTCCCAAAGCGCGGGATTACAGGCTGAGCCACTGAGCCCGGCTTAGATGATATTTCACATGCTGTTCTGTACTTTGCTTTTTTCCACTTAATATATATTTTGGATATATTTCTATTTCAGCATGCTTAGATTGACCTTATTGCTTTTGGGGACTCTCTGGTAATCTCTTGCGTGGATTTACCACCATTTATTCAACCAGTTTCTATGGGTATTTAGACTGATTTCATTTTTTTGTTATTAGAAACAATGCTGCGCTGTGGCAGACATTTATATATTCTTATATGACCTCCCATAGTTTTTTCAGGAAGAGAATTGTTGGATTAAATTGAGGGACTGCTGGCCCTTTCCCTACTCACATTTAAAAATATCACATTTAAGATATTAGAATTGTGATGGTGCTTTATTCTTAGAGGAAACTAGGAAAAACACTTCAGGGTGGAGAACAGAGGTTGCAATTTCAGATCCCTCCAGGGACTAGGCAGTGATATCAATGAGGAAGTGTCCCCTACTCTACCTCCCCATATTGAATGGCATTGGAAACTATACTGTCTTTTAGGGGAACAACTGTTTGCCATATGGAAAATGTGGACCCACAAATGCTAGAGTTTATTTTATTTATTTATATATTTTTTGAGACAGGCTCTTGCTCTGTTGCCCAGGCTGGAGCGCAGTGGTAGGATCACGGTTCACTACACCCTCGATCTCTGGGTTCAAGTGATCCTCCCACCTCACCCTCCTGAGTAGCTAGGACTACAGGCACTTGCCACCATACCTGGTTAATTTTTGTGTTTTTGTTTTTTTTGTAGAGATGGGGGTATTGCTATGTTGCCCAGGCTGGTCTCGAACTCCTGGCCTCAAGTGATCCTCCCACCTTGACCACCCAAAGTGCTGGTATGAGCCATTGCACCCGACCTGATTTTTTATAAGAAGTCGAAAATCCAAATTTCCATATAAAATGTCCAGATTTCAAAATGATAACTCACACGAAGGAGTATCAGCTAATAAAATATGTTTACAGTCTACTAACACATGAAGGCATTTATAGCAAGAACTACTACTATTATTATTGCTGTTTTTTCCATTTTGATTGAAAGATGAACTCACCATTGATTTAGAAGGTGAAAGTGGGAAGTCAGGGGGACTGTCTGAAGTCTGTATAAATTCCAAATCTATTACTATGGCTTATTTTCTTTTTCACACAGGATAAAATTGTTACAGATTTTACTAAAACAAAGCATTTTAAATTAGAAAGAAAATAAAATTCCACTTCCTAAGGAACAAGGGAACCCTAGATATTTTTGCATGTTATAATTTAGAAGCTCAAGCATGTTATAATTTAGAGCACTCTGCTCTAGGGAGTTAATAATTGTTAGTGAAATATGGATGCATCCTATTATTTATTTAATAATAATTAATTATAATTGCTCTGAGCGATCTTATCCTCCAAGACACTAATAATAACAAAAGCAGTGCCAGACACTGTTCTAACCACGTTGTATTAACGAAGACTGAACATAACATTTTCCCTTGAGCAGTAATAGCATGGAAGACTTAGGAATGTCCATATTTGGAATTCTCTGAATAATGAAAAATAATTTCAAAACAGTGTGTGTACTACCTACATTCCGCTATGAATCTGAAGATGGCAGAGGAAGGACTGTGAATAGGGCTAAGTTCATAGTGTTTCAAATTGAGAAAAAGTCATGAAAGAAAATACATAGAATAGCAAATAATGAAACAAAGGCATGAACTTAAAGTCACTTGCAGTGCCAAAGGAATATTAAAAGTAACATTATTTAAATCTCATAAACAGCATCCACTTTCATTTACACAAGCCTTAAGAGCTGAGAACAGACTTTCAGCGCCAGAAATGGTGTATTGCAGACCTCCAGGTAGAGGAACAATTATTGCTCTTGTCTTTGAATGATGCCATAAAGTACTGTTTAGCTTTATTTGACTTAGAAAAATTTCTTACTAAGAAATAGTAAGATAACCTCAAAATCATGTCACTATGTCATTATCCTTATGTTCATTCTCATTAAACTAGTTATGCTTTACATAACACACTCTGCTCTAGGGAGTTAATAGTTGTTAGTGAAATATGGATGCATCCTATTATTTATTTAATAATAATTAATTATAATCCTTCTGAGCGATCATATCCTCCAAGACATTAATAATAACAAAAACAGTGCCAGGCACTGTTCTAACCACGTTGCATATATTAACGATGTCCACTTAACAACAACTTAGTGAAGCAGGCATTATTTTTACTTCCAGGTCACACAGGAGTTTGGAGCCAGGATTTGAATCTGGCCTTTGTGGGTTCAGAGGCATATAATATTATAATGAGTATCATGATTGGAATCATGAAAGAGGAACAGATATTGTTTCGGACTCAGTATAGATTTCCAAATGCGAAAACAAAGTCTATCCAAACCCTGTAGTTCTCATGACACGTGTCTTCCTGCTTTTCACACTTCAAAAGGACCCTTGTGATCACCAGATGCTTGTGCAGCCTGAGTGATCCTGTGAAAACCACACTCTACTGACCCCCGGGGACAGCTAAATATTATCTATACAAACTATAGAGGCATATTTCGTAAATATGTATGATTATTACATATCAACTAAAAACAGAAGGAGAATAATAAAACCA